CTTGCTCCCTCCCCCATCGCCCACTCCCCCCTGTTTTTCTTCTGGATTCCAGAAGACGAATTGCCTCTCATTTTAGGTCAGGCAAACATTTTGGTGAGGTTTGTTGTGCTATTTATAAGCCAACATAGAGACGCTGCATAAAGTCATTTCAGGGAGAACTCAGCTTCCATGACTTGTTTTCAGTGAGCTAACACAGTAATTTAGACTGTGACCCAAAATTACAGAATTTCTTCTTGATTATCTAAATGAAAAATGTACCTATATCCATGCAATTAGATTTTAAACTCTTGGAAAACAAAACTTATTATATAGCAGCTATCTCTTTTCTCCGATTTTCTGGAGTCTAAAAACTAAACCCTGTACTTTTGCAATTAAGGCTTTATTTATTGGGCTAAAGTTTGTTTTTACACTGAGAAACTTTGTCCTTGGTAAAGAAAAAAAATTGTTTAGAAATTGATGTCTACAACACACACCGGGAGGTACGTTTACCACTGGGACAAATTCCCATTAGTTTTTTTATACTCTTAATTATTTAGGAAATGAGAAATATAATTGCTGCAGCTTTCAAACAGAAATTGTTGTCCATTTCTGCTCCTTCACATTCTGCTGCTGCAGAGACTGTAGAGAAGACGGGTGTGGACTGCAGGCCGGTCCATCCAGTCTCTGCATTGCAGACAGTCTTTTTAGGCTCGGCTTTGCCCATTGTTTTATCTTCTACTGCTATATGTAATATGACCATGTATATCAGGGCTATTTCACAAACCTCTCATTACCTAACCCTCTGAAAACTGAAAAACCTTCCTGGAAAACTGCTTAAAGGGAAGGGAATTGCTAATGGGTTCTTGTGAAGTTCCCACTGGTCCAATTCCCTGTTTGCTTGACAATTCCACTGACTGCAAAGGAGGTCTCTGCTTGACGACAGTACACTATAGAGTTTATGCAAACCACCCGGGGGTGTACCGTATTTTATGTCCTCACCCAATGAGAACAGATAAGAAAACTGATAAGGAACTGAACCGATAGTCCAGTCAACTATTTATGTGATTGGTTTAGTCATAGTTTCCTACCTCTGTCTCCAACTTTTGGGACTGTGTTAAGACATTATTTCCATGTTGTAATATGTTTGCTGATAAGAACAATGAGAATAAATATTTTTTGTTCTTTTTGCCCATTCTCCACATAGAAAATAGCAGACTGCAGGTTTTAGTTTTTGCTGTAGTGCATTTTCAGTAAATTTTCAAAACTTGGCATCAGGCTGACAACAAACAACACAGGTCTGAGGTACAGACATGACAGGTATTCTCTGCACTCTCAGCACTACAGCATTGCCTTTGACATTGATTGGCTGAGCAGTAGTCAAGAACACTGACATGTTGAAGAGCAGGTGTGTAAACATTAAAAGAGAAACCCAGCTTTATTTCATTAATACCAATCCTGCACTCCACCGTGTAAAGGCTACGGCAGGGCTGCACTTATGCTGCACAGTTGACTCCTGTTTTGTGTCTGTCATTTAGATCAATGAAGGCCAGGACTGAGGTAAGCTGCAAATGGATCCCTTATCACCAAGCCCTAACATTACAGCCATCACTCACTGGTCCTGACATTTGTGCCTTCCTGTGTATGTGTGTGTATGTGTGTGTGTGTTGGAAGCACTGGACTCAATGTGCATGCAGCGTGTGTTGTTGTGTGTGTATGATCATATCCATGGCGACACTTTGTTCTTGCCGTGTGTCCTCACAATATGCTCCGGTATTGATTCCTGATGGCCAAGGGCTGGCTGCCTATTGATCCCAGTGCGTCCATAAACATGTTGAGATGACTTATGGTTTGTTTGTCTGCATGCGTTGTGTGTGTGAAACTGTACGGCTGTACCTGGATGATGGGATGATTGATAGGGAGGGTAAACAGGCTCTATGAAATACCAGTGTAATTTAGGCGCATAAAATCATGAAATAGTACAAGTCATGTACAAACAACCTTAACAGCTCACCAGGGAAATAAAAGCTTTGACCATTTAGCCAAAACAGAGTATCTCATTTAGGGCATCAGTCAAAAAGTCAGGGAGAGAAAACCATTTCTATTCCAGATAGTGCTGGTCTCAGCACTTCACTGGACAGATTATTTTCACCACGTCTGAAGGCCACAGGGATTCAACGGGGAGTTGTTTAGATGTTCAGTCTTTTTTTTTTGCCAGACTATCACGTTAAGTGTATTTCTGACTGATCCTGATAACTTTACAGAGATGTTTAGAGGTTTGTTTGTTTTTTTCAATAAAGATAGGAGTTGGTTTGAATTATCAGTATTTTTTCCAGAGGATGACTCAATGTTCTCTTTCTTATCTCCTTTAGACTAAGATACAGTACCACGGTCCGGAAAAGGAAGGGAAGAGAAAGACAGTAGATAATGCTGCCTCGTGTTTCCAATCCAGAGAGGAACGTTCTAACGTGACAACAAATCCTATTTTTACTTGATTAACTCCTCTCTTGGCCATTGTCCAGTCTCAACAATTATTGTCTTTATCATCCTGTCATATATTTTACATTTCAACCTTTCAGCATCAGATTAATGTCTATTTATTTCTTGCAATTCTTTTTCTGCTTATGTGTAACAACTAAACAATACATCTAGTATAATTCAAACTACAAAATGTAAATATGGAGGAGAAATAGATTTTTTTATATTTCTATATATTTTTTTATATTTCTTTTTTAATTTTCTTACTATTTTTTCTACATTTAAAACATCTTGCTTTTTATTGTACAGCTTATTCTACCAACACCCTCCTGTTGCGTAAATATGTCTATTTCCACAGTGTCTGGAAATTTATCTGATCAAATATAATATAATCTCTAATTAAATTCAAATTATTGTTGGTTCTGTTGTGGTCCCATTCTTGTTTTTTTTTTTTTCCCATAAGAAAAATGCCAAGCCCTTACATACATAAACCCCTCTTTTACAAAAAAACTAAGTTAAAATCATAACTCATAAATGAAAATTAAGTTAAATTTGTAATGAATTTGGCCATTGCTTTAAAACAAAGATTAAGTTTGAATGAGAAACGGGCCCTTGAACGATCTTAGATGATTGACTGTCTTCACAGGTATAGAAAGTTAGTATGATGTGTTGTGACCTGTCAGGATGACACAGGGGTCAGGGGGGCAACTGGTGACAAAAGACAGTAGCTGGTTCATCAGAAATGGAGAATCCTGAGAAACACCAACGGGAAACTAACAACAATCAAATCTCAGGAATATTGCACCAAGGAAAACTATGTAGCAGAAGTGATACAGTATAATCCCTGTAGTACCTAATAAAAATGCAAGGCATGAATACAGGTCGGAATGATTTGAAGCTGGGATTAGATGTAAGAGTGCCGAGGGAAACTCTGGTGGGAAAAAAAATGATATATTACAGGAACCTGGGAGAAAGATGGAACACAGAAGATCGGGGGGGGGGGGGGGGGCAGGAGGGGACAGAGAGGGAAGAGATCGGTGCAAGTCGGAACACAGAGTCACTAACACCAAGATCATTACTTCAACTGGATTGTTCATTTTATTCTACTTTAAATGACATCTGTTATTATAATGTGATATTTACTAAAACTTTTCCTTACAGTGTGTTTAAATAACGCAGATAACACTATGTGTCAGGGCAACTTTATCTCACAAATAACACTAATAACCCATCAATTTGGACAGCCCCACTTTACCATACTTCTGGACACTATTTCTACATTTATTCAGCATGTTGTTTTTTCTGTCATTTTTTTTATATGCAACTTAAAAATCTACTCTGCCCTTCGTCATTCAATATCATTTTAATTCTGGGCCAATCACTTCAGCAATCAACCCTGCAACCTTAATCACCTCACTACTAAACCATAATTGTTACAACTCATTGCTTGCTCAATATTTCACTGTCCACTGCAGACTGTTGTGGATGAAGTCCCTCTGACAACACTGAGATTTTCTACCCCAGTAACTTCTGCCCACTGGCTTAACGGCATTTTCTTTTCTTTTTTTTTTTTTTTTTTTTGATATCTCAGGTGTAAATGTTGCAGCAGAGAGAGTCAAATGACTGTGGTAATCTGCTCAGCTTAATGTTCCCCACCTTCAATATTAAGAACTCAGCTGATCTTAACAACATAATTAAAGAACCCAGAGCTTCCTACATCTCCTATCTCATTTCCTCCAGATAACTCAACCCAAAGGTTCTTTTTAACAGCAGTAATAACACTGTCACACCTGTAGCTCCTGAATTGCCTATTCAGCCTGAAAGGATTGTAGTAATTTTCTCTCATTCACTGCTAAGAAGAAAAGATTGAAGATTTAAAGGGTAATATTATTTTAACTGCCACCTCTGTCCCCACTTATCCAGCCTAGTTATCAACTCTGAGTACGTTTTCTTCTGTCCTCTTTCTGTTCCTATTGATCTGGTGAACAATATAAAACCATCCTGAGGACCACAAGTTTGTTGAAAACTTATCGGGGGACATATTATGCAAATCGACTTTGTCAGGGTTTTGGTACACATATTTGCGTCTCTGGAGTCTCGGCCTACTTCTGAAGTGGTATTTTCAAAAGCGTTGTTTCATAATCTCCCCAAATTTTTTAGAATGTGTATCACAAGGAGCTTGGATTTTACCCACTTGTGATGTCACAAGGCAGGTAAAAATAATCCTGCCGTCTACACTGGGTGGTTCCAGCCACACTACCGCTCACTTCCACCAGTGTGAGAATCTGACATTGGCTTTAATCAAACTCGATCGCCGGACGTGTTGTGCAAACACAACAGCTTAGCACAGCTCCTCTTATTGGACAAATAAACAAGATTATGTAAACAGTTGAAGGGGGTGGGTGGTCATCAGTAACAGCAGGTTGTCAGCCTCACACTAACATTTACGGTCATCAGTAACAGCAGGTTGTCAGCCTGTGAGGACGTACAACTTTTGTTGTACGTCCACTAACATTTACATTGAAGTAACAAACGTAGATACTCACCAGAGCCAAATATCCAGGTTCATTCATGGCTCTCAATCTTCTTCTGGAACTTCTTTTTGTCGTGGCTCTGACTTTGGCCCAAACATTTACAGGTGGACGACGGGTTGTTGTCTGATGGCCGTTTCTCTCTCACTCCTCAACTGTTGCCATGGTGATGTAACGTAGTCTGCAGGGCCTTCCTCCACTGGAGAGTTTGGTGCAGCATTACTGTTTAAAGGTAAAGGCACAGAGAGTGTCTGTTCAGAACATGGTTGTTAAACAGGTGTAGAAAGAAGCAAACTTTGCTTAAATAAGTCGGTTTTTCTTTGTTTTTTTTTTTTTTGTTTTTTTTGCTCTTTGGACTCTACTTAAATAGAAATTATATGGTCCAACAATTGCGTGCGTTGCTGCATTTTTAGAAAAATACATATAGTTAAATACTGCAAACAACACAATGTTTAAGACAACTTCTGTCTGTGCTGACTTTAACAGGCTCTGTATTCTTATCTCAGTAGACATCTGTACCATCCTGTCACAGTTTATAAATATGGCCGTGTGTGGTAAGGGTGTCATCCAACTTTTCCTTTTTCACTTGTGTTTAGATGCCACGGACACATCTGTGTCTGGCACCTTACTCCGTGCACCTGCTATTATCTCACCTCCCAAGCAATTTTCACCACTAGACCGTCTTTTTTCTTTATCCCCAAAAACAGTAAACTTTTTCATGTTGTTGACTACCTGAATACACAAAAAAATGACACATCTAACTGCTAAGTTAATGTACAATGAACACATGGATGAATTACAGACATTAACATTTCCACACATGGATGAATTACAGACATTAACAGACATTAACCTGCTGTAACGCCTGACGTCAGCCACATGTTAAACGTCTTACAGACATTTATATTTGTAATTAAATACATCTCAAAACTTGGATCTGTGATGTCTCAACCTCAGCTCCAGATGATCCCTCATGCTCTTATTTACACTCAGCTGGACCACTGTAATTCCCTTTTCACCTCCCTCAGTAATACATCATTGAACCACCTACAATTGGAAAAGAATGCTGCTGCAAGGCTGTTAACTGGTTTTAGCCACAGCTCCCACATCACATCTATCTTGGACTCATTACATCGGCTGCCTGTCAGATTTAGAATTAAATTTAAAATTCTTATCCTTACTGTTGATATAAAGCCATGAAGCATCAGGCATTGGATTTTTTTTATTTTTTAATAAATTGACTCGATTGTACACAACTGATAGCTAATTCAGATAAATGTATCGCGGAGTACAAATGGAGTTTTATGGTCACAGTTTGAAAAAAAAAAAATATATATATTAAAACATTTTTTTCTGTACGGATGCCAATCTCTACATTTATAGTATAGGCTTTTGTATTTCATATCAGATTTCTGGTCAGAATCTTATTTTTAATTATCGTCAATTATCATAATTTTCAAGTTATGTTTTGTAGCCATTATTATTATTTTCTTTCCAAATTATTATAATTATACTATTACTGCTACTACCACTACTACTACAAGTAGTAGTACTGATACTAGTACCGGTTGTTGTTAAAATGTACTTTTTCTGAACGAAGTTTGAATTTAAAATGACATCAGCAGTTAAAAATCCATGAAAATCCATGCAGTGCTTAATCAAAACAATTTTCTGCAAGACGCCACTGAGTGGTTTAAGGTGTGTGGTGTTCGGATTAGAATAAGATTAGAGACTAAGGTAAGGATTAAGATTAGGTATTTACTTTCAAAAGGTTATGAGTGAGAGAATATTTTTTGTCTATGAGAAGTGCTTACAACACAGAAAAAAACTGTCTGTCTGTTGGTGTGTTAGTTTGTGCATGTGTGTGTGTGTGTGTGAGCGAGAGAGAGAGAGAGAGATAGGAAATTATACTGATTGCCTCAGTGAAACTAGCATACATCATGTCCTCCTCTGTAATCATCCGCAGCAGTTTATGTTCACTATAAATCTCCTTCCCACAACTGTGCCAGGCATCTTACAAATCAGGCCCTTTCACCTGTTTAACTTCAAAGGTCGACTTATACGTCCAGGTTCAAACGGCCATATTTTATACTCAAATATTAATCTTTTTATTTGGCTGGCATGCTTGAAGGAAAATACAAGTCTGTGGCCAGGAGGAGGGGGGGCATTTCAGCTGAGAGGCAGAGGAAAATCAATGGATAAAGTGGGAGAATGATGAATGAATGTTAAAGCATCTGCTCCATAGTCTTATTGATCAGATCTGAGTGATGCTGGACCTATCCAGGTAGAACAGACAACCTGATCCCTCCAGATATTAACACCTGAGTAACTGACAGCATGAACATCTGCTCTGCGAAAGTCAAGACTGAAAAGTTTGAACTTTTCTAAGTCGCAGGAAAAGTATGCACGCTCACACGTGGAAACAAAATCCCAGTTCATGTTTTAATTAGCAACATGATTTAAAAAATGATGCTTCCAGCTCCAGATTACACTGAATGGAGAATTGCGTCAGGTAAGGTAACGCAAGAACAAGAATATCTGCTTTCAAAGTTGTACTTCTACACACATTTGTTTCTGATTCATCTTGGACTCAGGGGGTTTTCTTCACACAGTAAATAGTACAATAATTATGTTCAGTGTGTTTTACTGAGTTTGTGTAGGCTGTGGGACCAGATCTAGTCCTACGTAGGGCACAAGTGGACAGGAAGCATATGTTGTAATTATAGGATCTGATGTTTAAACACCCACACAAGTCTTTATAGGCAGCATTCACATGAACACACACATGAATCTCTCAGTGAAGTGAAAGACTGACAAACATATTCTTTCTGTATAGATGGCATTTGTGCTACGGAAACAATAGAGGGTGGTTCTGAGAGAGCAGATTAGCGTCTGTGGCCAGGAATGTGTGTGTGTGCGTGTGTGTGTGTGTGTGTAGTCTGGAGCCCATCCATCTCTCTTTTGCTCGTTGTCTGTTTCAGCCAAATTCAGATAGCAGAGCTGGCTGACTTTGCAAGTAAATCCTAGCTTGAAGCTTGAATTACTTTCCTTTAAATTTGAATATTTAATCAAACTGTGAAACTTCATCCAGTACAAACCGAAGGTACAGAATTATCATAGCAGCGTCAGCAGGAGCAACTCCCACATTTCTACATTTTCCCAGACTCAACTTCTAAGGAAAGAGACAAGAATTGATGTTATTCTAGAACAAAAACAAAAACAGAATGTATCACCCACACTGCAGTTTAAGGCAGTAACCTTGCAGCATTGTCCAGAAGAAGAGTACTGGATAGTAAACGAGTGCAGCTTGAGGTACATAAGTGAAGAGGTGGATGAGCTACTTAAACATAATGAGCTGCAGTGAAATACAACCCACTACCACAGCTAAGCCTCACTTTTTTTTTTTAAAGCTTACATAACTCCGTCTCATCTTTTATTGCGTGGACTTGTGATCTCTGCACCTTTTTTGTTTTGTTTTTTTGCAGAGTCGGATAAGAAAATAAGCTGATGAATGTCCAAAAAAGTATGTCTTGTATGTACAGGGGGCCCTCGATTTACAACCTCCTCGACTTATGGTTTTTGTGGTTACGTCGACGAGGCTACGACTGTGCTACAGTGGCTTTCTTTCGTTTGTGTTGTTTTTTTGTGTTGGACCACTGAGGACCCCCCAATGTTGGGATATACCGTACGTAACGCAGTAGATCGGAAGTCATTGTCACGTACTTTTCCAGTCCGTGCAGATAGATGACGTGTAGCAAATTCATGTAGCCCTGACAGACAGTCATTTATAAAAATAGAAACCACTTAGTGTATCAGCATGGCTACTGAACACCAGAGTCAGATTTCAATTTAGTCCAAATCACCTCCGGGTATTTGTTTATCTCTTCATTTTCTAAAAGCCCGTTCCGCATCTCTATCAATTATTTCCTATTACTGATATAAAGGATCGTTGATGAGTTCTTGTTGGAAAATAATGCCGAGCGGTCGTTACATAGGAGGGACGAGTAGATTAAAATGAATAAATAATTAACACTAATCCCATGTTTCTCTCTCTCTCTGCATTCCATGTGATGTTTAATCCATATTGCTAAAGCTGTACAAACATACCACAGATAATAAGTGGTAAAAATATTTATAATCAGCACATATTTGTAACTAGTTAAGAGGATTACTCTCCTCACTGCCTCACATTTATAAATACCACATTCAGTGACGATAACATAGTTCCTCTCATTTTATCTTGGCTTTCACACAACAGATGTTCATCGCTGACTCTGTGTATTTGTATAGATCCTGCGGGCTGTAACACTTGGTGGCAGTGACCCAGGGTTGTGTCACCACCTTGATTCCAGGACGGCACACACTGCCTGCTGATAGCATTGATAGCTTCTGACAGGAGCGCAGTATAAACGGCCCAGAAGTCAATCGCTGGGTCACTGTCTTCAGGGGGCGTTAGCTCCATCATCACCCACCACTAACCACACACAAACATGCAAACGGAGCCGCACACACAAGTGTGTGTGGCCAGATTCGTTAACATGGACAAGCATGAGCCATGTAACAAGAAATAATATTATCACTAATAACAGCTTTTTGGTGACCTAAGTTGCTCAGTTACCAAGCACTTAGGTGGTGTTTACACAGCAACGATACGACTACGGATTCAGGTGCTATGTTGCAGATTAAATCTTGCATTCATATGAATCCGACTTATGAAAGTATAGGTACAGGGAACTGTATGATCTCTCAATACAGTGCCACATACAGGTCCTCATACGATACAATAACCATGACCTTTTACGGTATATGACGTTTTGCTTTTTTGTTGAACTCATGATAAGAAATTAAGTTAATCCCCATCAGGCGATGGTGTGGTCCAAAGAACCATTCACGCTCACATTCACACATATGGTCAATAGAAAGTAAACAATTATTCCCAAGTACCTAAAAAAAAACACACAAACACACAAATGTTCCAGTGAATTTCAGTGAGGCAGAAGCACTGACCACTACTTCACAGTGTGGCTCTACTAGTCTAAAATTTTGCACACTGTTTCACTGCATCTATTTGGTCCCATTTCACTGTTTAATTACCTAATGGAAAGATTATAGCTGAGAACGGATTCTCTTTCAACTGAAAGGCTCAGACCTGGCAGCTGTGCCAGGCTGTAAATGGTTGTGACAGATGTGGTGGAATTAAAAATAAAAAAAAAAGTCTGCAT